GTGATCCTTATCGCATAAAGCGCATGGTCTCCTCTTCTTACTAGCGTCTTTTGCGCTCGTATTTCCATCGTGCGTTTGAGGTATGATTACGGATAACGTTGACGTTTCGTTCGGTGTATATCGCTGGTATGTTTTCGATTTATTCTTCATTGCTTTTTATTCCCTTTCCGTATTGATGGAATGGAACTTTGTTACTTCTTCACTCCTTTGTGTCAACTTTCCCAGGAATGCTCTCAATTTGGTAACTGACCACGGTCCCTTTTCTTCCTTTTGTTGATATACTTTATCTAGGATCCAGGCTGGCAATTTGCTTTCGATTATGCATTCAATACTGGCCTGTTCTAGATTGTCGCCCATAGCTTCCAATTGTCGAAGTGTTCTTTCAATAGCTTCGACTGTTGCTTTCCATTCTCATTCAACTTTTTTGATGGAATATAGCGATTTTTTGATTAATTGGATTTGTCCAAATTTTTGAGTAAGGACATTTCTAATAACGTCATAGTTTTCTGGCGTTATGTCATAATCCCTTATCGCTTGTAACGCTTCTTCTTTGAGACATGTGACTAGGTAATTTAATTTTTGTATTCTGGAATGTTTTGCAAATGTACTGCGGCCTCAAAACTACTCCAGAATTCTCTCCATAATTTGATATTGCCACTGAATTTGGACAATGATATTTGAGGCAAATTTGCCGTTGGATGATTTGCTCTTTGGATTAACTCTGATTGGTGGTTTGATTCATTTCTCACACCTTGGGCTAAACGTTGAAGCACTAGTTCAGACTCATTCTTATACATAGTTAAGGTTATCATGACTTCCTTGCCTTCATTTATTAAATTTAACATGACTTTTTTGTCGCCCGCCATTTGTGAATATTTGTCCTCTTCCTTTCTTTTTGACAGACTTGTTCAATATATTGTTTCCCGTGTGTCGAGGTACAACTCGAGGCGCATCATTTTTTCTTGGATGATTTTTTTTCTGGCCTCGTGTTTCTTCCCTGGTCAGCATTTTATTCAATGGTGTTAGATTCAATCCTTTGTCTTCATTGAGAAGAATTTGTTATCTTTCGATCGCCGGTTGAATACTTTTGATTATGCTTTTGTAGTAGTAGACATCCCGGCTCGTGGCACCAGAAAAAATTGTTATGGAATTTGGTTTGGATTGATTTGGTTCAGCTTGAATCGATTGATTGCTTTGAGTCGATGTAGGTTGTTTTGATTGATTTGGGTTTGACTCGGTTCGGGTTTCGATTTCATGCGCGGGAATGGGATTTCCCTTTGACATTATAAACAAAGGGATTTCTTGAGATTCTTTATCACTGACAAACACAGTGAATAATGCAACAGTCGAGACGAAATGAAGTTAAGATAAAAACTGAACTGAGGAACTGAGGAACTCCGGTGTGGATCATGGGCCTTTTTAAAGGATTGTTTATTTGGGCGTGATGATATAAAGTGATTGATAAAATGGTTGATTACAAGATAGCTATGGAAAAGATAGTTTTTATAAAAGGAAAAAGGTGATGATATAGCGAATAAAGATGGGAACGGATGTGTATTACAAGATTAATCATTAGATTAGAATTAATTTGGTTTGTAAGATAGGAGGTGCTTAGATGACATATCAGATTAGCATAAAAATTCGTTAACACATTACCATTTATGAATCATTAAGGAATTTGATTTATAATTAAATGAAATAAATGATTAACATGATTTGCTAATAATATAAATAATTTAATTTAGTTTCGGGTTTCCTATACTCCCGACTGAGAAAAGTTAAATGGATAGGGTGGAAGAATTTGAGGTTTGTAACAAAATTCAGTTTGTTTATGGCATATTTTTTCTTCCCCCTCCCCACCCCCTCCCCTCCCTCCCCGGATTATTGAAGGTCTTCGTGGTAATTTTCCCTTTTGTATTTCTGTAGGGATAGTGACAATTTTTCCCTTTCTTGAATTTTTGATACGCAAAAGAAATTTAAATTAAGTTTCAATGTTATAATTGCAACTATAATTAATATCACAAAGAAGGTTGGACCAATAGTGATTAGCCTTCAATGTGTAGAAATTTCCTTGAGTTCGTCTTGTATCAATTCCATAGCTCTACCGAACTCCATTTCCAGTTGTTCTGCTAATTCCTCTCCTTGTTGACTGATTTCTTGCCATGAAATTCCTGTTCTTTGTTGTCGAGGTACTGGGTTGACCGTTTTCTGATTGTGAGCTAGTATTTCCAATTCTGCATTGATTCTTTCAATTTCAAATTTGTTTAGTATTCCCCCTCTAAATTCAACTATTGTTGTGAAAGCGTGATGACTGCCAGATATCTCTTGCTACCGAGCTGAACGTCGGGTAATTAAACCAGAGCAAATCTTAC